TGTTAATTTTCAAGTTCAACCTGCGAAGGGTGCTTGGTATATATATATATATATAACGTCATTCTATGATGGAAGCCTGAAGCATTGTTTTTGCATGTGCAATTTTTCTGTGAAATAAAATAAATGAGTTTACGAAGTTTTGTTTTTTTTTATGTATACTGCTGCAGTGAGTAATAAGTAATAAAATCGCAAATACGAATTAAAGTCGGAGCTTATTGTAAACCCATAAAAACTCGTGTTAAATCCGCGGTTATTTTCGTTTCCATCCACTTATACACGAAAAGAGTTCAGAAATACTTTTACATCCTTGAAAAATCTTTATGCAAAAATAATTTAAAAATTGATTATCATTAAAAGCTAAGTTCTAAATTAAAATTCGTTTACAATGAAAGTTGAATATAACTTTAAAAGTTAAATGTAACTTCAATTATTTTTGTTTCTTAGCTTGCAAGAAATCTCTTTTTTGAAATAACTTATAACTCATAATGCGCGCGCGCGCGCGCCCACACACACACACACACACACACACACACACACACACACACGCACACACACACACACGCACGCACACACACGCACACACACGCACCACACACACACATGTTGTTTATACATATAGATATTAAAAATTGTAGAATAGAGTTAGGTTGTTACAGTTTAGTTTATAGCATTTTAAAAATGTAAAATTACATATATTATAATGGAAAATCCAAATAGAGATACAAATGTACTTTTTTTCTTTTAAATTATGTCCATGATTTTATGGGTAAACTTCAAATCAGCTTTGTATAAATACTTATATTACATATTCTTTTAGTTAAAAAAAATTAAAATTTTTAAAATACTTTTTCCGTTAAATTTTTTCGATCTAAAAATTTTTTGCTCTCTTTTTTTAATCTTTCTTTTATATGTTTCTTTTCTATATAATATTTTATGTACGGTTCTCTTTTGTATGGTTCTCTTTGTAAAAAAATTCGTAAAATATATTCTTTGAAGTTTGTATTATGCTTGAAAAATATTTCTATTTGCTAATCATGCACTTTAAATAATTGTAGTTGTAACTCGATATGGCAAATATTTTTTACTGTTTAAAAATGTAAATATTCAAAATTCATAGCAGAATATTTGTATCACTGAACATGAATTACAATACTACGATAATATAACGACGGTTTACTCTGAAATGAATTTCTCAATGCGAGACAGTATAATCCAGCAATTTGACAGGATGACATGTAACTGACATGTTCCGAAGACTCCTTGATTTCTCCTTCTCGATTCATAAGTCAGTGTCTTGTCGATTGATTGTTAGAATTTCAGATCTGAGCTAGTTTAATAATTAAACTCACGTCAACGCAAAAAACATGTCATTGTTGAATTTTAAGTCATTTTTATCATGTAAGTTTAATTATACAACAAAAATATGCAATACAAAATATTTGTACATTGTTTTTTCTCCGTTTATTTAGTTACTGATTTAATGTTATTCATTGATTTATAATAATTTATATACATATTATTATTTAGCAAATATTTTGTTTAGAATATGATAAAGAGTTATTTAAAGAGTTATAGTATTCTGTTATAAATGAAAATAATTTTTGATGTTTTACAAATTTGATCTCTCTATAATCTATTGCAAATTATAACAAAGATATTCTAATTGTACATTTAAATAAACAATTAAAAAGAATTTGTTCAAGTATCCGTATAACATTATTGTTACATTTTTTATTGAAGGGTTAAAAAGACGCAGTCAGTCTTTACGCAAATGCAAAAGCGCGTCGAGATAAATGATAGCATGCAATTATCGAAATTACATTTCATCAAGCATTTAAGGAAACTCGATCCTATCATATCACGCAGGAATCGAATTCGGTCTCGTGTAAAGTGCTCGTATAAAGTAGCAGAATAAGAAAAAAAGCATTATATTCTGTTTCACTGCGTGAGAAAATGATCGTACAGAGACACTTGCTGTTTTCCTTTACTAGTTTTCATAAAGCGCAATGAAGAGAATAACTTCTTTAACACTTACTTTATAATTTTACGAAGAAAATTAAAGGAAGAAATTGTTTGCATGTACCTTGAAATTTTTAACTTTTAAATGGAACATATTTGCAAATTAGAAATAGAAATGTATTTCTTTTTTTTTTATATAATCTGCAATAGAATAAATTTCGTAAAAATAAAATTTATATTATAATATAAAATTTAGCAATAACTTTTTATTTTAATTTAAATTTCTCTATGCGATGATATACTTTATATTATTTATATTATACTTTTTATGTACTTTATATTGACACGAAATTGCATTGTCCTAGAAGAATTTTTTTTTATACGATATATCGTAACGCAGTTCATGCTGCAGTAACTTTATCAGAATGACATAGAAGTATCTATTCAGAAAGCTATTTTTCAATTGATGAGTATGAGTATTGAATTTAGCAAATCCACTTCTATTTTGAATATTTACATTATATACAATTTACATGGCATATATACTACACGTAAGAACGTTCACTGTTTGCGATAAGAAAAGTGAGAAAATATAGATTAAAAAACCTATAAAGATAAACTATGATACTTTAAAAATTGAAGAAATAAAGTTTATTATATTAATAGTTGTTTGAATAACATTACATTGATATCGATAAAAAATTTTTCTCTTTAGATATTTCAGATTTAAATCCAATTTGTGAGATAAAAATCGCAACTATTTTTATAACTCCTTTAAAAACAAAGCTATATTAACATGTCAATATTCAAAATATTTTGAGTTTAAATCTAATCTAAGATGAGTTTATAGTTGAAATTTATATTTTTTCTTTTTCATGCATTTATTTGATATGAAATTAATTCTTTTTGATAACTTTAGGTTGATGCCTAAAAATGGACATCATTTGTATGAATTCACAGGATAAGATCATTATAAGATATTATTTCCTGTATATTTATTATTTAATTAACAAGATGAACAGTAGTTCACGAAGCTTTGTCATGTGCATCTATCTTTATTACGATGTAATTAAGTGACTTTAAAAAATTTTGCTAAAAAAGCATTTAAGCACATCTTGGCTTAATACGTATGATGTATCATCTCTGTATCGCAAAAAATTGCAATCTATCTTTATCTCATCAACCTACGTCGTGTCCTCAATTTATCCCTGCGAAGAGCATTTCCACTCTGAACTGTCCTTGAATTATTGAACTGTAAAGCAATCAAATGCCAAGTAAACTCCGTTCGCTTCTGCCTCTTCTCTTCTGCCTGCTTACTACCGCGGGTCGGTTTCGCTAAAATCGCAAAATTCTATCGTTGAGAAACAAATGAGATGAAATAAAGTACGTTTTCGTTTTTTTTTTTTTTTTTCGGTTGATTGCAGTCCGATGATCTGGGTATCGCAGTATCGCGAAATGAAGATGACTGATCACGGCATTGCACACGATGTCGTTGCTAACGTCGGAAGAGATCAGCAGGTGGCGAATCAGGTGAATCGCGTACCGGTGTGTCTGACGCAGGCTGACACTGTCGCCAGCGTGACGTTTTTCCTGCTTCTAGTATTGCTCTTCTTCGTCGCGCCATTTGTGATTCTCGTAGTATTGTATTCGTTTATTGTGAGTCACCTGATTCGTGACTCGTCGACGACGTCCGGCGGCACCAACGACACGTATCATAGCCGGGCCAGGAGACAGGTGGTGTACATGCTGCTGACGGTAGTTGTAAGCTTCTTCGTGTGTCTGTCGCCCTATCGGCTCCTCATCTTCTATATTGTAATAGCGCCCGCCGAGCAGATTGCCGCGATCGATTACGACACATTCTTCTGTCTGCTCAACTTTTGCAGGATCATGTTCTATTTGAATAGCGCCAGCAATCCGATATTGTATAATCTAATGAGTAGCAAGTTTAGACGGGGTTTTCTGAAACTGTGCGGTTTTGAAAGCGAGAGGATCACACACAGAAGCACTGGCGTGAGGAGAATTGCAAATCAGCAGGAGGATTTAAATCAGGAAGAAAACTTTCTGTGATTGAACGAACTTTTTATGATCGACTACAATAACGCGGCAACTGTGATTCATAATTTCTACATTCAAAGAAATAAATAATTATATAGATGTATTAATTTTAGAATATTAAATAAAATATCAGCATTAAACGTATTTCTTTCAAAACCAGAGAAATCAGTTGAACTCGATGTGCTTGTTATAAAAGAATACGGAAATATTTAAAAAATGCGTACGTGTTGCTAAAAGATATAAAGATAAAGGATTATGATTCTTAGTTATATTTGCTATAAGAAAATGTTAGAAGTATTGAAAAATTATATTTATTCTGACAAGAGATATAAGAGTAATGAATAATTATATTTATAATAATTAAAAAACATAGGTAAACAAAACGAAGATATCGAAAAACTATAATATATTTTTTATAAAAGGATATGAGTATATTAAATGAATACAAAGTGTTGTGCTAAAGATTGATTGAAACTTGTACGAGAAAACTTTCGACATTCTGGGAGATATTAAACTTGGAGAACTTTCGTGAAAGCTACGATCGAGAATGAAGTGAACAATCCGCATGGATGCGCTCAGAAAGTTTCAACTTTAAATGATGTGATCTCATTATCAGTATTGCAGACGATTAAATAGATACAAAATCTAATCTTATACCAAATGTTACACGAATATTTCTTATACATTTTAGATGCAAAGATATATAAAATTATTATAAATACCCTATGTTAAATGATTTTATCATTCTTTTCCCACTGCTTTGGCCATAAATTGTTTAAGTTATTAATACGATGTTTATTTAATATGTAGTTTGCACAACAGAAATTTATTTGCGCTAAGATTTTTTTTGCAAGCTGTCGCAAAGTATTATATTTTAGAAACGCTATGCGTGTCAAGCAATAGTTACATTATAGTAATTTATTGGAGCTTTGCTATATAATGAATGTATCCGCAATAATCGATCTCTATCTTTTAACACGTTCTAGTCCTATTCTGCTTATGGTAACCTACGAGATAGAAGAGAACATCGATGGTACGTACATACCTACTTGTACAACACCAGCTTCGACGACTTGGATGACGGGCTTCATTCTGACGACGATCTTCGTGTTCTTCGTGATCCCTTTATTGATCCTAATAGTGTTATACACGGTGATCGCCAGACACCTGATGGCGAATCCGGCGATAAGTCGTGGACCGGCGAACAATCTGCTCAAGTATCGCAAACAGGTGGTCATGATGCTGGCCACGGTGGTGCTATGTTTTTTCCTATGCTTGTTACCTTTCAAGGCTCTCACCCTCTGGATCATTATCGTGCCGCCCAAGATGGTTGTCTCGCTTGGAATCGAAGGCTACTACAGTCTTTTGTATTTCTGCAGAGTGATGCTATATTTGAATTCAGCGATTAATCCGATTCTCTATAATTTGATGTCGACCAAATTCAGGGAGGGTTTCCTCAAGTTATGCGGTTTGGGACCCGTCAAGAGGAAGAAGAAGAAAACGTCGGATCGTACGGGTACTTATACGACTGGGTCAACCAATTGCAGTAGCAGTCACTCGGACTTCTGGCGAAGACACAGCAGCAATAGAAGCTGCAATGTGAAGGTACCATGCAACAACGACACGTCCGCGGAAAAACAAATCAAATTGCCTTTATTCACGGTTGTAGCCGGAAATATCGTAAAAAAGAAACAAGAAAGTTACGTTTAATTTTATAAATATATCGAGTATTTTAATGCAGTGATAATTTAGTGTAGTTTTTTTGAAATCATAGATGAGTTATACAATGAATTGTACAATAATAAGCTGTTTTTTTCTCTTGCCTTTCTCTATATTAGCTTTCTTTTTTTGATATACCTTATTATGTTATCCCAGGATTTCTACGATGGATAATTAAATAGAAATATGTAATTATTTATTAATATTTAATAATTAAATGTAAATTGTTTAAATATTTGTAACAATAGTTTAGAAATAATTATTAACTGAATGTTTACTAAATGTTATTATGTCAATGTTAACTTAGATATTTACAAGTCCATCCAAAATTAAAGTAGAATAATTACAGTAGATACTTGTTACGTCAAGATTATTAAATTAAGACAATTTTAGTTCCCCTCGATTTTATACCTACTTGATACTTATATATGATATATTTATTATGTGTATATTTATGTAGGCTACATATATATAAATTTTTTTATTTACTATATATATATATATATATAGTAAATAAAAATAATTTTTTCAAGAGACTTGCATAAAAATTATAAGATAGTTTCGTACGCAAGTCTTTCGTTCCTAAACACTTTAATCGTGATATTTAATGTCGATTCAATTAAGCAGATATACATAGGTGAGAAAGAACAGAGTATGAAGCAAAATAATGGAATTATTTTTAGTGATTTCTTTGTTTCTTTTTTTGCATTAATTGACATTGAGATTGTTTTGTTGTATTTTAGGGGTCAGAAATTCGCTATTCCGCCGATGGAATCAGTGATAAAGTTCGACGACAGAAGCAAGATATTGTTAAAAGTCGGCACAAAAGTGAAATTGCAAATTTTGTACATAGATCAGAAATTAATTAAATTTTAAACGGTACACCTTGTTATTGGCATGTATGGTGGATATTTTCTATGATGCTGGCATCTGAGAAGAAATACTTTCTAACGAGGTAGTTAGATTCAAAATACGATTTTGGCAAAGCTATCGTAAACTAATGCAAAATAGCGAATCTTTAGCAAAATATTTAAAGAATTAGAAAGCTTATGTGCAATTGTTGTAGAAATAGTTATATAAAAATTTTTATTTCTTAATATCAGCTTTCTAATAAGATAAGACTGATATAAATATGATATGATTATAATATTTTCATTAAAATGATAATATAATACTACAAACATCGCCATGTGAGAATATAGTCATTAGGTGTATCTTAGTGCCATTTATATTAGAAAAGCATGTGTTTTAATAAAAAAAGTAACACATTAATTTTTACTGGAATTAAAATATTTATTATTATTTATTACAATCATAAGAATAATACTTATTAATGAATGGAACTTTTACATCATTATTACCTATTGCATTATTAGTTATTATTATATTATTTGTATAGTAAATCAATCTGTAATGTATTTAATACTAATAAAAATCTACTAATATTTTATATAATAATTTTGCTAATATATTACAATATATAATACTTTATATGCTCATAAAAACCAATAAATTATTGGTACAATTAATTGACATCTAATAGATATCTAATTTTATAAGAATATCGAAATTTATTATTGATAAATATGCACATCCATAATAAATGCGTTATCAAAATTTTGTTGATATAAAATATTACAGGAAATATTAATTATTTGTATGATATATAATATCTGTTAAGTGAATTCTGCTATAATGCGCATATTAGAACGCATATTAGAGACAACGTTTAATTATTATATATCTGAACATGACTACAATGAATAGATGTAAAAATATAAATATCAATAAGAAATGAATACAAGAGAAACATCTTCGAGACATATTCAATTGGTGCTTATTTATCTCTATTGATTTATTTGTCTGCAGACATGTGACACATTGAAAAAAACAAAGTATTTATAAAATTGTACAAAAATAACTCAGAAATTCTCCATTTTCTCTCGTTAATAAATTGTTACATCCAAATTAAATTTAATTGCTAAATATAAATTACTTCTATTAAATACTAAATACGTTCAATCGATGTACATAATTAAAACTATATAAAATATTCTTTCGAATTTTATTTTAAATTCACTAAAAGTTTAGTTTGCAATCGAATGTATTTAATTTCCGATGTCAGGTAACTATGAAATTAATTCTCTTAGTGTACATTCTTATGAAAGAAACCATCTCTTCTATTTCATCAAGAAATTCATTTCATCAAGAACTGAGAGAAAATGCATAAATTCTGATCTTAAATATATTAGAAGTGTTCTTTTAAGTTAATGCAAATTAATATTTTCTTAAATAATCCGCATATTTGCATGCTAACAATTCTCTCGTAATTTTAAAAGCTTGTAAAGTATTAAGCTTGTAAGTTAAAAGCTTGTATTAATATTATCAAAAATACACAGAATATTATTTTAGTACATATTTAACAGAATAATTATAACATTGATCAGAATTTTTAACGTAAAACTAAATAACTTTAAATAATTAAAATATTATTTCTTAATTGTTGTAGAAATATTTATATTTATTCAATATTATCAATATTGAAAGTTACACTATTATCAATATGCAATTATTAAAGTTATTTTTGAGGAAAAGAAATTGCGTCGCGCAAACAATAACTTTATTATGAAGTAATTGATACGAGCAATAAATATTTGTTTTGTTTAATTGTAATTTTAATAGTTTATAAAATTATTTCTCAATTTGACGTCTTTCGTTGGAACTATTTCAAAAACGGAGAACGTTGGCATCGTTAACAGAAGTTACGATTGTTTATAAAATATAGAACGTATAGAACTTATACAAAGCAAATCTGTAGAATATTCAAATTTTATTGAAACAATTAATTAATATAAGCGACTTACATCTTATTATACAATATAGACTTTTAATGGCTATCTGAATCAATTTTTACACTGAGAAAGAAATTTACTAAATTTTAATAAATATTTCTACGAATAATTCTAACGGAATATTTACCGAATGTAAACATATATTTATTAGATACAAGAACCGTTCATTTTTTTTCATTTATCTAAGTATTTATTTACCGTAAATATTTTGCTAGAATTTTTTTTTTCAGTTTAGAAATATGCATGTGCCATGCACAGATATATGTATACTAATTCATATTGATATTTTATTCTTTATTTTTACCAGAATTGCTCTCAAGATAAGCTGCTCATATACTATTAGAATAATCAGAGAGCAATGCGTTCTTTAGAATTGTATAATTAAAGAAAATGTCGAGAGAATTGTAACAAAATGCGACTAATTTTTATCAAGTACAGAAAATACAATGTGCTATATATGATTATCAGTTATCGATTGTACAATTCTGTTTATCCCTATTTATTTCTAATTATTATTCTTAATTAAGGCATTGTTAAATTATTATAAATTAAAGAAATGTCTTTGTGTACGATTTGTTATTACATTTCCTACAGAAACTTAAAAATAGAAAAAGAAGCACTTTATTTTATTAATATAGAATATAATTATAAAAATACTAAAAGAATAAAGTTATAAAAACATAATTTTGTAAATATCTTGTATGATACAAAAAATGTTTTCATTAACAATTCCAGATATTTGTTCGTATGATATATCAATTTCTTGATGGAGACAATGTATTGTTATAATTATACATATAGACTAACACATCAAAGAGATTAAATTATTTTAATAATATCAAGAGATTAGACATTATTAAAATAATTAGATTGTTATTACTCTTTATACGTAATTTCTGTCTATTCGTATTCATTCGTCACGTATCGCGCTTTACAAAAATAATATCGTTTGCCAAATTGTCCGGATGTGTGACTAAACTGTAAACATAGTACCCTCGACGTTCCATCATATCGACCAGGTATTTTCGTCCTTTTTTATTGTGTATATATTCCACAGAGAGAGTCTGAAACGTACATGTATTTCTCATCATAATTGTGCCATAAAAAATATTAAGTACATTCCGTAAAGAAACTATATAGTTTGCGGGTTCCGTGTTTTGATATATCATTAAATATCAACGTTTCATGAATTGCAGTTTACTTCATCAGGACGAGAGAAACAATCTGATAATGAACTTCTCTTATCTCTGGAGAATTCCTTTTATATACGTTGTTAAGGAAGAGGAAAGATAAGAAAAAAAGATAGAAGTATATGAGAAGGGGGGATGGTCCATGGAGACTGTGAGATATAATTAAGGATATCCACATGAAATTGCCCTTAGTCTCATTCCTTTAATCGAACACTATACTTAACACTATATTTAATCACTTCTCCTACGATATATCATTACAATTTACATATATTATTATATATAAAAATAACCCACAAACTGCATAATTTCTTTGAAGAAAATAACCGTAGACTCCTCAAAAGTATCGTTATTATATTATTTCACTTCCAAGAAAACATGCCGCGAATCATCAGAAACATCAGAAACGTACGCATAGATTCAGAATGAACTAAGGTACCTTTATGTCCACCTCGTTAAATGGTATTGTTTCTAATACGTCGATCTCATTGCCTTCTATGTCGAGGCTGAAATAATCGATCGTTTTGATTTCCAACGCGGCGATGTAATGTGTTAATGGAAAGCATTGCACGCGGACGTGCTTGCCCGTGTAAGCCACGTCAAGCGTATTTGCGGGCACATCCTCCGTCCTGTTCTCGGGTTCGTGTAGACGACCCACATTCCTGGCCATGAGAAAGGATGCCTGCAATTTCATAAGGTTCACCAAATTTTTCGGAATTCATGTACCGTCTAATATACCAAGTCAAAATTGGTGCTCGAGTTTCGCGACAGCACTATTTCAAAATAAATATTAACGACAAATTGATTTCTTACCACCGTAGGATTCTTAGTAATGCTAAGACACGTTGGCGAGAAATAGGCCTTTCTGTTCTTTTGCAACATCTTCGTGAAATTAATAGGATCAGCTTCTATCAAGAGACCTGACCATCCCTTAAACCGCTCCAGAAATAATGTGTTGCTACGTATTTCCCCGTCGTACGCGCCACATTCTATGAAAAATCCATTTTTCTGTAAAGAGCAATAAATGAAATTTGATATTTATTAATAACATAAATCGATCGAGCATAATTTTCGTGTATTCATTCGTTTATTCTTGTGAAAAACATTTTTCTTGCATTTCTTACGAAATTGTAATAGTTACAATATTTTACCTTATCATTTAAAATTTCGCGTATCGCAGTTGACTGCCCCATCGACGGATCTTCTACATCTGGTTCTTGAAGCACATATGATTCTTTCGGATTATGATTCCATATTATCCAGTTTTGATGAATATCGGCCAATAAATCATGAAAGGCTTTTGAGCTCAGGGCGGATATATTCTTCTTGTTGTACCATTTTTCATCTAAGTAGTAGTTAATTATTGATTATTTTTCAAAAAAATAAGAATTGCAAACTGTATATGTAAATATTTTTATAATTTCTGATATTCAGGTATACAATATAAATAAATATATCGCTTTATCCAACATAAAAAAATGTATACTATTATTTTTTTATCATATAAGCGAAATAAAAATTATGTTTAAATAGCAGGGGCAGTCTTATATTCTGTTATTAAAACTTCTATTTTCCTTTTAATTAAAGAATTAATAATGCAAATCTACTTAATTTTCATTTCCAAAAAAAATATATATTTTTAAAAATAATTTATATTTTTATAAAAATATCTTAGTATTCGTGAAATAATATTGTATTTTGAAGAATTTTAACATATTGTATCAGAACTACTATATTTAGGATAAATTTTAAAAGAAAATTCTTTCCCCGTACTATTTACTTCATTCAAACGTATTTCTTGAAAAAGAAATAGAATAAATTTCTCAGATAAGCAATATATTATATAATACATTACAAATCTTTATAATATAATATAATATAATATAATATATATCTTGTAATTTGTGTAAAATCAAATAAATCTATTTAATAATTTGTCTTATGTAATTAACGGATTATAGAAACAAATCGATAAAAATAGACATCAACATAAAAATATATGAACAAGAGTTTATATATTTTCAGACTTTTAAAATTTTACTATTGCTAAATGTCAATCAAATATCAAGATCCAAAATTATAATACAATAAAAAGAATTGATAGGCTCAAAAGAATGAATCAAATAAAGATAATGCCTATAAGAGCCAAACACAGAATGTAAAATATTCATTTAATTATTAGATAACGTACAAACACATTTCGATCCTAAACATTTAACATGTAATCGCTTTACATCACACGATACGGCTACATGTCGCTTAATTCGATTTATAATTATATGTTTTATTCGTTTATTATCAGTGTTTTTAATATTTAGTAATTTAAGTGGATTGCGATATTGAGAAGGATCCGCAATAGGATCGAAACGTCTGTACTTTAGTTAATAATTAAATAAATATTTTATACGTAGACATTCTGTGTTTGGCTCTTATAGGCATTATCTTTATCTGATTCAAAATTGTATTTATAGATACGGCTTTGATCTATCACTTCGTATTTTAAATATGTGATTAGTAATTCTATCGCTGAGATTATTATTTAAGTAATTTAAGTGCGTACAGAATGACGTGTTATACCTTCACGTGATATCAATACTATGTATGCCAGATGCCTGGATCACATTTCGTTAATTAAATTTACAAGTATCACGATCTAGTAATAATAACATATGAGAATGATATAATTTTCCATTCAAGTATAATTTTCTCGAAATGAAGATTTCTGTAAAAACATGAATGTTAATCTATTTTTGAGGTATTTTTTTCACATTTCAGTTTCTTTTCTTGCAATAGGAAATTACAATTTTTTTTTATCTGTTTATTATACAAAACACATTTGCTGAAACTGTAAAGATTACAATACGTTGATATTAAGTTAAAAAGTAACTTACAAATGATTAGAATTACTCACTATTGGAGAAGTTGTACCATGTGTCCAACACTGTAACAATGACAAGAAGAATATATGTTGCTATTGCCTTTGAAGTGAAGAATTATTTCTTTATGGTAAGGTAATAATAGTTCAAAACAATTTTGAACGTTATATAATTCTAAAATAAAATTTGAATCCAGTTTTGAGATTCAAGTTTGATTCTCATTGTGTAGCAGGAGGATACTACTCAACAAAAAAAAATCAAGCGCGCAAAATTTTTCTTCAAAATAGGATTCAAATTTTATTTTATTCAGAATTGTATCATGTTCAAAATTGTATCTTATCTTAAAGAAAAAAATACATTTGGAAAGAACATTCATTAAAAGGTTCTCACCTGTTTGATATAAATCTGCGGGAACATCGTCCAGATATGTATCGCGTATTATTGTATTATTTTTAATAAACGGATACTTCGTGACAAGAACAATGAGAACAACGCACGAAATCAGCGCGATCAGAAAAATCCACTTTCGGCGCGAATAGTATAAGTTCGACATTTGCCTAAGTATGTGTTGGTTAGCGTTGGTTTGCATCTCATCGGAAAATGTGTGAAAAGCAATGCCGAGTCGTTTCTTCTATGTAGCTACGAGCGAACGAAATGCTATTCAACAGGAAATTACTTAGGCTCTTACTTATCATCAACGTGCGCGACTTATCATCAACGTTTAAACATCGTTCACCGCAGGGAGCGGCAAATGGGTACCGCTCGCAGGCAATTTTTTTTTTGAGAGAAAGAACTAACAGTTCTCTGTGACATATTCGTTTAGCTATTCGGCAGTCTAAACATTTTTTACGCGCTACTAGGTATAAATGTAGTAAAAAATTAAGTTCCAGTATAGCAAAAACACAGTTTCTTTGATAAAATTTTAAATTATCTTGTTTGCTTACATTAACACTTTAATCTTCGTAGAAATTATACGAAATTAAAAAGTAGATTACGAATTCATTGAATTTATTATGATTATTATAACTTATTGCGCATTACTGAGCATACGATAATGAGTAAGATAATTATTAGATATGTATATATATAGAGTACACAGTTTCATCTAAATAAAATTTAAATTATTAGGTGTTGGAATTAATTCGTAGCGTTTTTTAATGAAAGAATGTTATTTATTTTACATGAGCATTAAAAAATACATTAATGAAAGTACTTCCCATCACTTGTAAAACGCTACGAATTAATTCCAACACCTAATAGTATATTTTTTTACGTTAAAATTAACCTTCACGAAAATCGAATGGAATAGAAAAATAAACACAAAAATATAGACTTTGAATTGATAAAAGACCGGAAGATCTTTAACACAATACCATGAAATGTTCAATCACTATATAGTTATATACACACAGATGATGAAACAATATAATACTCGTACAAATATAGTAAATATTGCTGGCGAATTATAATTCTTTAATCCTCTGACAAAAGTACCTGTGAATTTTGTAGTAAAAATTCAATAGATAATCAGTCAAGATAATTTGATGGCTAATGAAAATCGATAAATTTAGAGATAAAAATGTTAATCAAGGCCACCAAATAAAACGAATAATTGATTAATTAAAATAATTCAGTATTGAATCTAAAAAGCTCATCTGAGTCACGAAAATTTTTCACATATATATAATATTTTTTAGACGTTAACATATGAATTAATGTACGTTACGTATAATTATAAATAAATAAATTACGCGACAGTTTCTATTCATAATAAAACATATCATGCGTTTCGCATTATCTTTATTACTTACCTTCCTCTATTATTCTCAAAATTATAACGTATAATTTTCAATTTTTTCCCAGATAGACTAAAATGTTTTTAAGCGACATCATTTACGTATTCTATCAAAAAGTGATTAATACAACATTTTCCCGCTGCATCTTTTAAAACTTCCGTTTTGTATGTCCTGCCAAGATTTACCATTGGATAGTCAATTATTGTTCGATTCGACGTATTTCTGTCGAATCTTTTACACTCAAAGATATCACAAATCTCTCAAAAAATCAATGTCCTAAATCGGCGATAAGGCGGTTGCTTAATATATACACGAGGAACCATTTCGTGGCACAATGTACGCGCGCGTGTGGCAAGCCCGATGCTGCGGCAAACTAGAAGAATACATTATGCTTCGATACGCGAGATAAATTTAGCATGGGCGTTTACGTGAGCGTGTCGTGTCACGGTTCGCGAAGCAACAGTGAACAAAACGGCATTCCCGTTCACAAATGATGACGCCTTCGACATCTCCGAAATGAAAGACACGGAAGGAGAGAGAGAGACTCGCCACTCGCTGCCATATCCCGACCATGAATATCAACGAGTGCCATCGGCACTAGGCTTGAAGATACTCTTTGAAACAAGTCTATCTGTGTAGGTACTACCTGTGTGTTGTGTTTATGTGTTTATACAGGGTGTTCCAAAATAAACAAATTTATTTTAAGTCTTGAGAAGCGGTTCGTCTGATTACGACAGATAATCTATTTGAATTAATAATTGAATTTCTACATACTATAGACTAAATTTTTTAATTAAAATTTAATGCTTACGAATCCCTTTCTTTTTTAAAGAATATAAAGAATAATCAATTATTATTGAATATAATTGAAAAAAGAAAAGAAAATACATTTATGAGATACAAATAAACAATTTTTTTTCTACTTGTATGGACATTTATAATTTTTTTATTGATGATATATAATTATAAATTTTTAATCAAGTTGTTGGAAAACATAAAATAAGTAATGCCTCAATAATTCTTTAAACAAGGATGGATTTGATATCCGTCAGTTAAGTATTAATGACAAACTCTCGAAAAATTTGAAAAATTTTTCTTTAAAAAAATGTCTTTAAAAAATTTTTTTAATATTGACATTTAATCTTTTTAAATAGATTCGTATAGAATGAAACATTTGGAAAAAATAAAAAAATAGAAATACTTGCTTATTTGTTGTTTAAAATAGAAATACTTACTTATTTTGCATTTCTATACGAAATGAAATCGCTAAATGACACACATGTGAATGGCACATTACTAGCAGTTATGAAAATAATATGTACAGTCTCACTATCACATATGCTGAGCACAACGTGTATGTGAAATACAAAGATTAACTCCTTCTCAAGGTGGATCGACTTATCTATTATTAACGAATGTTATTACTGATATTAGACATTGGCGTGTAGTCTCTACTAAGAGCAAAAATACAATGCGTGAAGAACTAGGACTTCTTTATAAGAAAAACATCACGTGTGTGTTTTTGCATGCATTGTGATGACAAATACATGACTTGAGGAGTATCACATTTTTTTTCAATCTGCATATTATGATAGATATCTGGTGTTTATCTATACAAGTGATGTATATAAACACAATAGCTCGAAAAATTCATTGTTAGTTAAAATCAATTGTTGTATTATGATTAATCCGATTGTGTAATGATAAGGGATGACCTTAACACGGCATGTCTTAAGATTATCTGGTCATATCTTTATGATATATTATCAATTTCTAGTCGGGTAACTAACAATATTTCAACAGATTATGCGAATTTATATATTTTTCTTTTATTGCTAGTAAAGTTTGCAATTTAAATCGATATAAGGAGAAAGAATGAAAATCATCCTTTGTAATTATTTATTAGAACATCTTTAACATTATATATATTAAAAGTATTATTTTATAATTGAAGTAAAATGTTATAAATAAATTTATTAATATTTAAATATGACAGATAGATTTATTAATATTTAAATCGTCGTTATGTTAAATCTTGCGAAATAATACCAATACAATTTGTATTTAAGTTTTCTTAACACAACATATAGAAGAGCATTGACATTATCGACCGTTTTTAATCATCCAATGTGAATATTCAAGAAAAATGCAATAATTAATTTTTCACTTTATGGTTACTCCATACTTCGTAAATATATATGTGTATATATATTCGATCTATGTTAAATTACATAATATATTTCTGTAAAATTTCATTTTTCTGTGAATAAGAAATAGTCGATAACGTCAATGCTCTTCAATTATCTTGAATTATGTAGAGAAATTATTCAAATTCAAATATATATATAATATATATATATATATTCCAAGAGATCTTTATAAATTAAAGAAAACGCTAAACTCTGTTTTTATGTAAGATGCAACATATATTGATTTTTCTGACAACCATTACATATTTCTTCTGTAATTGAAGATGATTAGCAATTGAAGATGATACATAAATTATTTATTAATCCAAAAAACTTCTAGATCTAGAGTTTATTAACATTCCGCTTTACGTAAGCGGAGAATACATTTGAAATAGAGACTAAAAGTGAATTGATTTAAACATTTACGAAACGTTCGATTTCATTCAACTTCAAACGTAACATCGGAGCGCTCTCGAAGACATATCATATTCTGTCGCATTCGTTGCTGTATCTCCTTTTTTTTCTCGGTCGACAAACGTCATCGGTTCTCGCCGCAGTCATCGACAGCAACGGCAACGGTGATCATCACATGATTTTAGACGTTGTAGCGCTGCTGCATCGTTCGTTTCGAACATGGCCGCGGCGGAATGTGAAACGAAGGAAGGCACCTCAGTGGACCTGTTGAAAACGCCGGTGTTGTCGGACGAGGCCGTTAATGTAATCCAGAAAGATGAGGACTCCGGCATTCCACTACAAACGCCCTGGACCTTTTGGCTCGACAAGTGAGAGCAAACGCGGTGATTTTTTTCTTTTTTCCATTCCACTATGCGATGCATCTCAACGCGATGGTGCATCTCGATCTTATCGTGGTCGCTCTTGACAAACGTTGACACTGTAAATGACACTTGCGAGAAATGCCGTCAAAAAATCATCGGTCCAACATCGACGAGATCGCTATTCCTGATTTCCCTTTATTTAAATGATCCAATGTGCACTGCAGATACGCGCGAAATTAATTTACACATTACATTTTCATAAATATACATTACTCTTTTATTCTCGCAACCGCCATTGCATCACAGAGGAAAAATTCATTGGTATACATTCATATTTATGTGTTCTATTAATAAATTGTGATATACGTATTTATCATTCAAGGATTTCATGCATTTAATTATACGACTATAAGAGTGTTCCAAAAATAAAATTAATAAATAACGTTGGGTATAATACATAACATATAAGTTTTTTCTCTCTTTATTATTATTAAATAAATATATTTAATTGTTGTTACACAGATAAATAATAAGTACATTTATACGCGAAATAGAATAATCTTTCCCCTTGATTTTTATTTGTAAAATTTAAAGAAACTTTGTAAAACTTTTAAAATTTGTAAAACTTAAAGGAACTATTGCATCCGAAAGTACCGATGAATTCAGATAATTATAAATAATTATATTCATAATTACATATAATAATTTTATAATAATAATTATATAATAATTTACTTATATTTTCTGTTTCAAATAACATTTTTTATCACCATAATTTTTAACTCATCTCTTTAATAGTCTCGTAATAAAGTTCTCAGATTGCAGCAAAAAAATAACATAAACATCTCAGATAACAAATTATTATATTTTATCTTTCAAAGTAATCTTCTCCGCGACATCAATACGCTTCACATATCTTTAATGTTGAAATAAAACTTAAAACTTTTTAAAGTCTGAAATTTGAATGCTATCAGAATACTCAGCACATTCCTTTGTATATCCTCGACGTGTTGAAAATTCTTATCTTTCAATGATTAAGGTTTGGGAACGACATGAAATTCGAAAAAACTATATTCGACTATGGACGGATAATCTTAACAAACCCAACAATTTATATATATATATATAAAATATTCTGAAGCTGTATATCGAATAAGATGTGTGAAATGTATTGAAATAAAATATGTGAAATGGATTGATGTCATGGAATACTTTGAAAGATAAAACATGACATTTTATCTGATATATGTGTTATTCTATTATTGCAGTCCGAGAATTTTATTACCAGACTATATGTCTAATTAAACGAAGAATAAATAATATTATTCTATAGTTTATGTAATTTTATCTCTTTCATTTTAATTGAAATTTCCTATTATCATTTACTGAATTTGGAGAGACTTATATCTCAGATGCAAGAGAGAGAGAATCAAATTATTCCTATCATAAATTTAAATACGTTGCTAATTCGAAACAATTATTAAATTGACAGAGCCATCCCTGGTACAACTGCTGAGGAATACAAAAACAACTTGCAGAAAATCTATACCGTAAATACCATTCAAACTTTTTGGGCAGTCTTTAATAACATACCAAATGCCGGAGATATGCAGGTATGATAAAAAATCTATATATAGAAAAATTTTTTTCTTGTATATTTTATATTTGTTGTAATTAATTTCGCTAAATTATAGTAAATGAAAAAAACTTATTAAGAATACTAATTTTATTTGATTAAAATAGTTTTTTATTTGAATTGTTTTAACAAAATGTTTATATATTTCTATGAAAGAAAACTCAATACTTTTCTATTTTATTGACATCACATGTCTGCGTGTAATAAGAATAAATTGATAGTGAAAAAGTTTTATCATCCTCCTATATACATACTTATACATATATATCATATATGTCATATATGAAATTTTTACTTTAGTAAAACTTTTATTCTGTATGTAGAATGTATTTTTTATTGTTTGTAAAGTAGGAAAGATTATTATAGACGAGCTATATTTAAAATTGACATTAATTATATTATTATTTAAATTATATTATGCTATTTAATATTTAATTATACTATTTGGCACTGTATTATAATACATTATCATATTATTCAATTTGTTATTTATATTTCACAATAAATTATTTCTTTTTGCCATCAGGTTAAATTATGATACATTATCATATTATTTAATTTGTTATTTATATTTCACAATAAATTATTTCTTTTTGCCATCAGGTTAAATACAGTTATCATTTAATGAGAGATGACAGATACCCTTTATGGGAAGACAAAGTGAATCAAAAGGGTGGTACCTGGAGATTAAAGTGCCATAAATATGATACCGTAAATATTCTAATACATTTATACGAGCACAAATTTTTATTCAGATAATCGTCTTCTTATTTTCCTGTACATAGAACTTTAAATGATTGATTACTTTGTATGACAAATATTTGGTTTTTTAGGAACATGTGTGGAAAGAAGTAGTACTTGCAGCTATTGGAGAGCAATTTGTTTCAGATGTGGCGCAGGATGATGAAATTTGTGGCGTGACTGTATCTATCCGTGATAGGGAGGATTTCATTCAAGTATGTACGTCGTAAATCAAGTAGACAGCAGAATTTAAAAAAACAG